TTTGGTAATTAATATCTTATTAACTATTGCGAAAATTGCAAAATGGTAGAAAACTTTTCGACTCAATTCGGTCCTCTCTGTACCATCACATGAAATATTTGGCGATTATTATAGGACACCCTGTATAAGCACACATTTTGCGATATACGTATTTTGTAATGGGAAACAGTAAATCTTTCAGTTTTAATTGCACATTATTTATTTAAAATAACACAGCATGATTAAAGACATAATAACAGACGTTGTCTACTTTCCTTGTTTTTTACTTTACTAGACTCTTATACTGTACATTATATTCACAAATTTTATTACTTGCACGTTTATTTTCGCAACTAAGATAGCGGCATGCCTTTCCTTCTCTTTCGTATTTATCTACGGTACAATATTCTGGGTTCAAAATATTACCTCATACCGAGTTAATATTACGTAACCTCCGCTTAATAAATATATTTTATGTATAGTTTTAAATGACTCATATACGCAGGTTTATGCATTCTTTATGTATTAATATACTTAAATTTTGCACAACAGTAATTTCCAGTGCGATGTAATTGTTTCATATTGTTTTAACCAAGGATAGGAAGTAACACGTTAAGCGGCCGGTTCTACTACAGGAATCGTAGACGGTTTTGGGGTCTGAAGTCATAGAAAATTGACCAATCATAGTCGATTATTCTACTCGTATTTGAGTCTAATTGATCAATTTCCTACAACTTAAAACTCCAAGATCGTATATGACTCTTATTGTAGATCTCGTATTACCGTTATTTTTTATAGCAACCATTTTGTGTTTATTTTACTACTTCTTTTCCATAACAGTAACGATAACACTAAAAAGAGGGCTAATAAGAGTCAACGCGAGTCATGGTGCGTAAGGAACTTCTTAACTGAATAACTCTTCAATCCATATGATGTTGAGGAATCAATTTTATTTAAAATCTTGAATGTTTCGATTCTCTTTGGAATCTTCTTCAGCAATCATCTTAAAACTAATTTGGATTTTGCGATAACCGATATAGGATCACTCTCAGGTTTCCAGAACTGTAGTATTATCTATAGCGATCGCGAAATCTTATGTTGAAACTTTGGATATTGTGTTGATATTAAAAGTAAAATTATACAATTATAATTTAGATTAATTTTAATCTCCTTCTGTCAGTCCGGAGTGTCGAGTAACAATAACGGAAATATTAAAATTGACAGAG